CGTCCGTGAACTTTTACTTTAAATGACATCTCCTCATAAACCACTAAGCCAATTTCATCCAAACTTCACAGGAATGTTCCTTTGGTGGTCACCTTTAAAATTTGTTCAAAGAATTTAATTACATGCAGAACTCTGGTTGCGATGGCAACCGAAAGAAAAAACTTTAAATATCTTCTTTTAAAAAACCATAAGAGCTAGAGCTTAGATATTTGGCATGAAACATCTTCTAGTGAGTGTCTACCAAGCTTGTTCAAATAAAAGCCCTGGGGTCAAAATTGGCCCCGCCCCGGGGGGTCATTGATTTTCCCTATATGCATATAGTAAAAACTTAAAAAATCTTCTTTTAAAGAACCCAAAGAGCTAGAGCTAAGATATTTAGCATGAAACATGTTCTAATGGGTGTCTACCAAGTTTGTTCAAATAAAAGCCCTGGGGTCAAAATTGGCCCCGCCCCGGGGGGTCATTGATTTTCCCTATATGCATATAGTAAAAACTTAAAAAATCTTCTTTTAAAGAACTCAAAGAGCTATGGCTAAGATATTGAGCATCAAACATGTTCTAATAGGTGTCTACCAAGTTTGTTCAAATAAAAGCCCTGGGGTCAAAATTGGCCCCGCCCCAGGGGGTCATTGATTTTCCCTATATGCATATAGTAAAAACTTAAAAAATCTTCTTTTAAAGAACCAAAAGAGTTAGAGCTAAGATATTTAGCATGAAACAATTTCTAATAAGTGTCTACCAAGTTTGTTCAAATAAAGCCCTGGGGTCAAAATTGGCCCCGCCCCGGGGGGTCATTGATTTTCCCTATATGCATATAGTAAAAACTTAAAAAATCTTCTCTTAAAGAACTCAAAGAGCTATGGCTAAGATATTTAGCATCAAACATGTTCTAATAGGTGTCTACCAAGTTTGTTCAAATAAAAGCCCTGGGGTCAAAATTGGCCCCGCCCCAGGGGGTCATTTATTTTCCCTATATGCATATAGTAAAAGCTTAAAAAATCTTCTTTTAAAGAACCAAAAGAGTTAGAGCTAAGATATTTAGCATGAAACAATTTCTAATAAGTGTCTACCAAGTTTGTTCAAATAAAGCCCTGGGGTCAAAATTGGCCCCGCCCCGGGGGGTCATTGATTTTCCCTATATGCATATAGTAAAAACTTAAAAAATCTTCTCTTAAAGAACTCAAAGAGCTATGGCTAAGATATTTAGCATCAAACATGTTCTAATAGGTGTCTACCAAGTTTGTTCAAATAAAAGCCCTGGGGTCAAAATTGGCCCCGCCCCAGGGGGTCATTTATTTTCCCTATATGCATATAGTAAAAACTTAAAAAATCTTCTTTTAAAGAACCAAAAGAGTTAGAGCTAAGATATTTAGCATGAAACATGTTCTAATAAGTGTCTACCAAGTTTGTTCAAATAAAAGCCCTGGGGTCAAAATTGGCTCCGCCCCGGGGGGTCATTGATTTTCCCTATATGCATATAGTAAAAACTTAAAAAATCTTCTTTTAAAGAACTCAAAGAGCTATGGCTAAGATATTTAGCATTAAACATGTTCGAATAGGTGTCTATTAAGTTTGTTCAAATAAAAGCCCTGGGGTCAAAATTGGCACCGCCCCGGGGGTCATTGATTTTCCTTATATGTGTAAAGCAAAAACTTAAAAAATCTTCTTTGAAAAAACCCAAATAGCTAGAGTTAAGATATTTAGCATGAAACATCTTTTAGTGAGTGTCTACAAAGTTTGTTCAAATAAAAGACCTTGGGTCAAAATTGGCCCCGCCCCGGGGGTCATTGATTTTCTTTATATGTGTATAGCAAAAACTTAAAATCTTCTTTGAAAAAACCCAAATAGCTAGAGTTTAGATATTAAGCATGAAACATCTTCTAGTAAGTGTCTACAAAGTTTGTTCAAATAAAAGCCCTGGGGTCAAAACTGGCCTGGCCCCAGGGGTGTCATTGTTTTTAACTATATGTGTATAGTAAAAACTTAAAAAAAATCTTTTTTTTAAAAGCCCAATGAGCTAGAGCTTAGATGTTTAGCATGAAACATCTTCTTATGGGTGTCTACCAAGTTTGTGCAAATAAAAGCCCTTGGGTTAAATTGGCCCTGCAATGTTGGGGGGGGGGTGGGGGGCCTATATACAGGTGAGCGACCTCAGGGCCATCATGGCCCTCTTGTTTGATGTACCTGCTGGAAATTTGGACAAGGGGTTTAATTTCTGATCCTGACTTGAATTTTGATATGAACTGGCCTACTTTTGATATATTTGATATCGCTTTACCTACTTTTTTGTCTTTTATGCACAGACTTAAAATTTTGACCAGGGGTGTAATTTGTGTAATTTTTAATGTTGAATTCAATTTTGATACCAGCTGACCTACTGTAGGTATTATTGACACCATTTGATCTACTTTCTTGTATTTTGACATTCAGATTTTAAATTTGGACCAGGTTTGTAAATTCTGATGCCGAAATGAATTTTGATATCAACTGACCTACTTTTCATATTGTTTACAATGTTTGACCTATTGTCTTTTTCTGAGGTACAGTTATGTCACCATACAGAATGTATAAAAAAATTGTTGTCCCAAACTGTAAACCTCAAACATCTACACCTTACATTTTTGCATGTGACATTTTGTGTTTTCATTCAAAAAAGTTATAATAAAAAAATTGTCCAGTCAAAATTAATCCTGCTCTAGTGGTTATTTATTCTGCATTTATTCTACATAGTCTCATAGGAACACACTAATCTTGCAACATACATATTTTTAACAAAGCCTTTCCAAAATATTAGGGCAAAATATTTCAATTTATATAGTGAATAATGAAATGATGGGTTAGATGAGTGATCTTAGTGGCTCTATTGTTTATTATGTAGAAAAAAGTTAAAACAATCAGTGTTGTGAAAGTATATTACTAGAGGTGCAAGTTAAAGTTGGACTGAACTTGCCGAAAGAGCTGGACTTGCCTTTCAGAAAGTTCTTTTGAAAAATAATTTCCAACACTGAAAAGCAGTTGTTTCTGGTGAGCAACTCAGGGCCATCATGGCCCTCTTGTATTGAACTTTGATATCAGCTGACCTAGATTTTGACAAAGTGTCTTACTGTGTTGTCCTTTGATGTAGTCATGAAATTTAGGCTGTGTGAAATATGACCTTCACCACCAAATTCACTAGACTCAACTGCATTGATATATTTCTACTCTGATCTTTTATTTGAATAACAATAGATTTAACCACTAATCTGATAATAAGAATTAGATAGGTCAGGGATCTATGCATTATGACACTCTTCAATTGTATAGAAACAAACAAAATCTGTTCCTTTTAACACTACTATTTACTGTTGTATTAATGCGGTGGCATAGCATTTTTCACAAATGCAATCTTGTTAAGACTTTAATTGTACCCCGCCTTTTTGAAGAAAAATAGGCTCTGTTCGTCTGTCACATTTTCGTGTCCGGTCCATAACTATGTCATTTATCAAAGGAATTTGAAATAACTTGGCACAAATGTTTGTAATAATAAGACCATGTGTCATGCGCAACAACCAGAACCCTTCCTCCAAGATCAAGGTCACACTTGGTGATAAAAGGTCGACATTGTCGTGTCCGGTCCATAACTTTCTTATCCATAAAGGGAGTTTGAATATACTTGGCACAAATGTTAATAATAATGAGATAGATGTGTCATGTGCAACAATCAGTTGCCTACCTCCAAGGTCAAGGTCACAATTTAAGGTCAAAGATTGAGAAAGTCTGTTACATCCTGGCCATGACTTTCATAGATCAAGTGATTTTGAAATTATTTGGCATAAATGTTCACAATAATAAGATGATGTGTCATGCTTAACAATCAGTCACCTACCCCTAATGTCAAGGTCACAGGTAGAGGTCAAATATTAACATAGTCTGTTGCAGGGTATATTTTGTGTCCAGTCCATAACTTTTTTATAGATCAAGGGATTTTAAAATACTTGGCACAAATCTTCACAATAATGAAACAATGTCTTGTGCTTAACAACCAGTTGTCTACCTCCAAGGTCAAGGTCACAATTGGAGGTAAAAGATTAACATTGTCTGTTACACGGTATATTTTGTGTCCGGTCCATAACTTCTTTCTGGATCAAATGATTATGAAATTATTTGGCACAAATGTTCACAATGATAAACCGGTGTGTCTTCATAACAACCAGTCGCCTACCTCCAAGGTCAAGGTCACAGTTAGAGGTCAAAGGTTAACATAATCTGTTAAAGGGTGTATTTTGTTTCCAGTGCATAACTTTCTCATCCTGGATTCCATCAAGGAATTTTGAAAATATTTGGCACAAATGTTCACAGAAGGTGATGTGTTGTACACAACACCCAGTCATGTTACTTCAAGATCAAGGTCATATTTGGTGATAAAAGGTCAATATCATTTGTTCGAAGGTATTCGTGGTGTCAGTTACATTTTCATCTATCAAGGGATTTTGAAATTACTTGGCATAAATGTTCACAATAATGGGACCAAGTGTCGTATGCAACAGCCAGACACCTACCTCAATGTGAAGGTCCCACTTGAGTGCTAAAGCTTAATACCTGTTCTAGGGTATATTTTGTATGCAGAATATAACTTTTTCATCAATCAAGGTATTTCAAAATAACTTGGCCCAAATGATAACAATTAAAAGACAACATGTCATGCGCAACACCTAGACCCCTACCTCAAAGGTCAAGGTCCCTCTTGGAGATCAAAGCCTAAAATAGTCTGTTTCAGTGTATGAAAATGTCATTGGTTGTTGATTGATAACTGGACACGAAATATACCCTGTAACTGACCATATCCTATATTGATTTTGTATTTGTCACATTTTGTGGCTTTGAAATAGGGATAACATTATAAGTATATATTATAAATATCCATACCTCAATCTTTTGAAAAAGCACAATTTTGTAAAACTTCCTTTAGGCGGGGGAGGCTGGTAACTCTGTTACAAATTCTTGTTTGTTTGTTAATGCAGGACACTCAATGGAATGATATAGATTATATGTATAAACATCTAGACTGGACATATGATACTTCCAAGTATAATGGACTTCCCGATGTAGTAGCAGATCTTCATCAACATGGACAACATTACATTATGATTATAGTAAGTTTGTTGGTTGTTAGAGAGGAACTAGATTTTAATGAATCTGAGTATGGAAAGGTAAGTTTATATGAGTTAAGATGTGATGTCAATAAGTCAAAGAAAGACATGGAAAATACTTTTATAGTAATGTGGTTCAACATATTTTTATGCCCCTAGGCATATAGTAATTGAACCGTCCGTCCGTATGTCCATCTATCTGTCAGTCTGTGTGAGGTTAGCCTAAAACGGCAAGTTGGAATTTTTTAAGTTCTATCTGTACCAATGGCTTTATATTAATTTACACACTTACTAATCAACACAAAGTACATGATCTGGGCAAGTTACATGACTATGGCTTCCATTTGTTTCAAGTTATTGCCCTTTTTCAGCACTTTGAAAATGGATATTATTAACCTTATATCTAAGTTCTATCTATACTAGTAATGGCTTCATATTTTCCACACTTACTTATCAATACAAAGTTCATGATATTGCCAAGGTTTATAACTTTTCCATTCATTGTTAGCTCCACTTTTTTATGCCACCGCAGCATCTGCGATGCGGTGGCATATAGCGATTCACCTGTGTGTGTGTTTGTGTGTGTGTTTGTGTGTGTGTTATATAGGATATATAGTGAACTTAAAAAATCTTCTTGTGAAAAACCACGAGTCCAATTTCAACCAAACTTGGCAGGATTGTTCCTTGGGTGAAGGGCTTCCAAAGTTGTTCAAAGAATTTAATTCCATGCAGAAATCTGGTTGCCATGGCAACCAAAAGGAATTAAAAAAATTTAAAAAATCTTCTTGTAAAGACCCAAAAGGCCCAGAGCTTAGATATTTTGCATAAGGCATTGTCTGGTAGACCTCTAACAAGATTGTTCAAATTAAAGCCCTGGGGTCAAAATTGGCCCCGCCCCGGGGGTCATTGATTTTCACTATATGTACATATTGTAAAAACTTAAAATACCTTCTTGTAGAGACCCAAAAGGCCTAGAGCTTAGATATTTTGCATAAGGCATTGTCTGGTAGACCTCTACCAAGATTGTTCAATTTATAGCCTTGGGGTCAAAATCAGCCCCGCTCCGGGGGTCATTTGTTTTCCTTATATGTATATTGTAAAATCTTAAAGTAAAAACTTAAAAAAAATTCTTCTAGCAATTGACAAATGATAGAGGTTAGATATTTTGCATGAAACATTTTGTAGTGAACGTCTAGCAAGATTTACAAATTCTAACCTTTGGGTCAAAATTGGCCCCACCCCAGGGGTCATTGATTTTCATTATGAACATACAGTAAAAAATTTAAAAATCTTCTTTTCTGAAGGTGCAAGGCTTAGAGCTTTGATATTTGGTATATTATATCATCTAAAGGTACTCTACAAAAGTTATTCAAATTTTGCCTCTTGTGTCAAAATTAGCCCCGCCCCCGGTGGCCATAGGTTTTCCTTATATATATATAGTAAAAACTTAAAAAATCATCTTCTCTAAATTTACAAAGGCTAGAGTTAAGATATTTTGCATGAAACATTGTGTAGTGAACCTCTTGCAAGATTGTTCAAATTATAGCCCTGGGGTGAAAATTGGTTCCACCCCGGGGGTCATTGATTTTCATTATGTACATATAGTGAAAAAATAAAAAGTATTTTTGTCTGAAGGTACACGGCATAGAGCTTTGATATCATTTATAGGTCCTCTACCAAAGTTGTTCAAAATTTTCCCCTGGTGTCAAAATTGGCCCTGCCCGGGGGCAGTGATTCTCATTATGTACACATAGTAAAAACAGAAAATAAAACAAATGTTTTCTGAATGGGAGAAAGCTATAGCTTAGATATTTGACTTGAAATGTTGTTTGGTGGACCTGCATCAAAATTGTTTTGAATTAAACCCTTGGGTCAAAATTATGCCTTGCCCAAGGGGACAGTGACCTACTTTCTTGTCCTTTGATGTACAGCAATGACATTTTGACCATGTGCACAGTTTTAGTTGTAAAATTGAACTTTGATATCAGGTGACCTAGATTTTGATGATGTGACCTACTTTCTTGTCCTTTGATGTACAGCTATGAAATTTGAACCATGCGGTGGCATAGCATTTTTCTCAAATGCAATCTTGTTTAAAAAAAGATAGAGGTATTGTTATAGTCATGTCGACGTTGCCGTCCGCAAACTTTAACCTTGATCGCACTTGTCACTTTTGTGATTGCTTTTCGTCTGGTGTCCGTCCATAAATTTTTACTTAAAACAACATCTCCTCATAGACCGCTTAGCCAATTTGAAAATTGTTCAAAGAATTAATTTCCATGCAGAACTCTGGTAAAAAATCTTCTTTTAAAATACAGAAAAAGCTAGAGCTTAGATATTTGCCATGAAACATCTTCTAATGAATGTCTACCAAATTTGATCAAATAAAAGTCCTGAGGTCAAATTGGACTCAAGGGGGGGGGGGGGGGTGCGGGGGTCATTTATTCTTTATTTGTAAATAGTAAAAACTTGAAAAAACACTTATTTAAAAAAAACCCAAGGAGCTAGAGGTTATTTAGCATTAAACATCCTCTAGTGGGTGTCTACCAAGTTGGTTCAATTAAAAGGGTCAAAATTGGCCCCGCCCTAGGGTCATTGATTTTCCTTATTAGCTCACCTTGCACAAAGTGAGCTTTTAGGATGGCCAACCAAATGGCGTCCGTCGTCTGTCGTCCGTCCACATTTTAAATATTCTAAGGACATCTTCTATGATACCGCAAGGCCAATGTTAATGAAACCTGGCAGGAATACTCTTTGTATGAAGCTCTATCAAGATTGTTCAAAGAATTCCATTTCATGCAGAACTCTGGTTGCCATGGCAACCGAAAGAAAAAACTTTAAATATCTTCTTTTAAAGAACCGTAAGAGCTAGAGCTTAGATATTTGGCATGAAACATCTTCTAATGGGTGTCTACCAAGTTTGTTCAAATAAAAGCCCTAGGGTCAAAATTGGCCCCGCCCCAGGGGGTCATTGATTTTCCCTATATGCATATAGTAAAAACTTAAAAATCTTCTTTTAAAGAACCCAAAGAGCTAGAGCTAAGATATTTGGCATGAAACATCTTCTAGTGAGTGTCTACCAAGTTTGTTCAAATAAAAGCCCTGGGGTCAAAATTGGCCCCGGCCCAGGGTGTCATTGATTTTCCCTATATGCATATAGTAAAAACTTAAAAAATCTCCTTTTAAAGAACCCTAAGAGCTAGAGCTAAGATATTTAGCATGAAACATCTTCTAATGAGTGTCTACCAAGTTTGTTCCAATAAAAGCCCTGGGGTCAAAATTGGTCCCGCCCAAGGTTGTCATTGATTTTCCCTATATGCATATAGTAAAAACTTAAAAAATCTTCTTTTAAAGAACCCAAAGAGCTATAGCTGAGATATTTAGCATGAAACATGTTCTAATGGGTGTCTACCAAGTTTGTTCAAATAAAAGCCCTGAGAACAAAATTGGCCCTGCCCCAGGGGGTCATAGATTTTCCCTATATGCATATAGTAAAAACTTAAAAAATCTTCTTTTAAAGAACCGTAAGAGCTAGAGCTTAGATATTTGGCATGAAACATCTTCTAGTGAATGTCTACCAAGTTTGTTCAAATTAAAGCCCTGGGGTCAAAATTGGCCCCGTCCCAGGGGGTCATAGATTTTCCCTATATGCATATAGTAAAAACTTAAAGAAATCTTCTTTTAAAGAACCCAAAGAGCTAGAGTTAAGATATTTAGCATGAAACATCTTCTAATGAGTGTCTACCAAGTTTGTTCAAATAAAAGCCCTGGGGTCAAAACTGGCCCTGCCCCGGGGGTCATTGATTTTCTATATATGTGTATAGCAAAAACTTAAAAATCTTCTTTGAAAAAACCCAAATAGCTTGAGTTTAGATATTATACATGAAACATCTTTAAGTAAATATCTACAAAGTTTGTTCAAATAAAAGCCCTGGGGTCAAAACTGGCCCTGCCCCAGGGGTGTCATTGTTTTTAACTATATGTGTATAGTAAAAACTTAAAAATCTTCTTTTAAAAAACCCAATGAGCTAGAACTTAGATGTTTAGCATGAAACATTTTCTTATGGGTGTCTACCAAGTCTGTTCAAATAAAAGCCCTTGGGTAAAAATTGACCCGGGGGGGGGGGGGGGGCTATATACAGGTGAGCGACCTCAGGGCCATCATGGCCCTCTTGTATTTAGATATTAAAAACTTTAAAATCTTTTTTTTAAAAACCCAAAGAGCTAGAGCTAAGATATTAAGCATAAAACCCCTTCTAGTGGGTATCTACCAAGTTTTTTAAAATAAAAGCCCTAGGGTTTTTTATACCCCCGCACAACAAAGTTGTAAGGGGGGTATACTGGAATCAGCTTGTCCGTCCGGCCGTCCGGCCGTCCGTCGGTTTTTTCTTGTCCGCCCAATAACTTAAGATATCATTGACCCTTAGTCTTCTTATTTGGCATGGAGGTTAGTCATGATTAGTAGATGACCCCTATTGATTTTGAGGTCACTAGGTCAAAGGTCAAGGTCACAGGGGCCTTGACTTCAAAAACCTTGTCCGCCCAATAACTTAAGATTCCTTTGACCTACAGTCTTCATATTTGGCATGGAGGTTAGTCATGATTAGTAGATGACCCCTATTGATTTTGAGGTCACCAGGTTAAAGGTCAAGGTCACAGGGGCCTTGACTTCAAAAAGCTTGTCCGCCCAATAACTTAAGATTCCTTTGACCTACAGTCGTCATATTTGGCATGAAGGTTAGTCATGATTAGTAGATGACCCCTATTGATTTTGAGGTCACCAGGTCAAAGGTCAAGGTCACAGGAGCCATGACTTTAAAAAGCTTGTCCGCCCAATAACTTAAGATTCCTTTGACCCATAGTCCTCATATTTGGCATGGAGGTTAGTCATGATTTGTAGATGACCCCTATTGATTTTGAGGTCATCAGGTCAAAGGTCAAGGTCGCAGGTGCCTTGACTTCAAAAAACTTGTCCGCCCAATAACTTTAAGATTCCTTTGACC